GAGAGGAGGTGGCAAGAGATATTGCTCCTATTTTGGAATGTGAACCTGAGGAAATATTGAGAGAGATTGATAGAATATTTGGAGTCAATTCATGGATTGCGAGGCAGAGAAATTTATCTAGAGATGTGGTTATTTATTTCTCTAGGAGATCACTTCGTAATGAAATTATACAGGCTTTTTTTAAGCAGAGATTTCAAATTGCAGCCCAAGATGTTATAATTTTAAAAGAAATACCTCCAAAAATCCTTAGAAAAAGAAAGGATTTTGCTTTTCTGGCTGAGGAGCTTAAAAATTGACAGATTCAGTTCAGTTGGGAGATACCTGTTGGAATAGTGGTGAACTACGCTGGGACACGTTATAGACTCAATACAATTTTAAAGCAAAAGATTTTTATACTTCTGTCCTGAAAGCAGGTTTGCCACCATCTCCACAATCTAAGAGAACAGAAGAAAGGCCGGAAGAACAAACTGAAGGTGCAATGTTATTGGCTGCAGGAGATATTTACAGGCTGGACCTATGGAACAGTGTCTGGAGGTAAAAGATGATTCAAAGGAACAGAGGATGACTCGTGCTGCACATAGACGTAAAGAAAAGGAACAACAGAAGGCTGCTGTTGGATCCATAATACAAGGTTCGATTACTACAGAGCCTGTGGGAGGGACAAGACTGAAGAGATAATCTACAGCTGATCTTCAGGCAGTGTTCCAGAGGCTTCAAGCCATTAAGGATGGCAAAGTTTCTGACATGGAATGTTAATGGCTTGAATTCACCACAGAAAAGAAAGAAAGTTTCATTATTTGAATCAACATAAGAGTGATGTTGTTTGCTTGCAGAAGACTCATATTGCTTTAAAGGATCAAAAGTATTTGATTAACTCCCAGTTGGGATCACATTTTACAGCTTCTGCTCCGGAAAAAAAAGGAGATGCAGTTATTTATGTAAGAAAAGACTTATCGGCTAAATTAATTGATTGATGCACAAGGAAGATACGTTATTATTGAATTAGTACTACAAGGCAAGAAATTCCTTATTATTGGATTATACGCCCCCAATCAACAACAAAAACAGTTTTATAAGCTGTTACACCAGAAGCTAACTCAAATAGATTATAAATCTGTTATTATGATGGGTGATTGGAATGGTGTTTTAGACTCAAGTAAGGATAAGAAGGGTTTTTTTAAAATCTTCTAATCACACTAAATTACCTAAAGTTTTCTTTGATTTGAAGGACGATTTCGAACTTAGAGATATCTGGCGAGAACGGAACATCGAAGACAGAGACTTTTTTTTTTTCCGGACAGGCATCAATCGTATTCCAGAATTGACTTTTTTTTAATTACTACTGATCTTTTTTCCAGAGTCAAGAATGCCAAGATTTCCCCCAGAATATTGTCAGACCATAGTCCTGTATGGTTGGAGTTATCTGTTGAAGACGGGAACAGAAGGACCTGGAGGTTGAATGAAAATTTATATAGATATGAGGGGATTTTACAGAAATGCAGAGAATATTTGAAGGAATTTTTTCTTTTGAATATGCATAAGGGTACCTCGATGGCAATGGTATGGGACGCTAGTAAAGCTTACATGAGAGGGGTTCTGATTCATATGAATAATGCGCATAGGCGTAAACAGATGCAAAAATGTAAAGAGTTGGAAGAAGAGATTAAACTGAAAGAGAAGGTTTTTATTTTAAATCCATTGGATAACAGTTTAAAGGCTTCTATAACTATGCTTAGGGAGCAATTTAATATGTTAATGGCAGATCAGATTGCAACTAACTTGCGTTATATGCAATATAACACATTTTGCAATGCAAATAAGCCTGGTAGGTGGTTGGCTTATCAATTACGGAAGAAACAAAGTCAAGGATTATAGAGAAAATAGATTATAAAGGTAAAGAGGTATATCAACAAAATTTGATTAAAAGGAGTTTTTTAGATTTTTATTCAAAGTTATATGCTAGTGAAAGCATACAAGTTTCAGATATAGAAAAGCATCTACAGGCAGCACATTTTCCTAGACTTTCAAATGATTAATGAGATGAGATGAGATGAATTGTTTAATTACTTCTGAGGAAAAGAAATGATAGAACCATTAAAGGAACTTTTTAATAGTATTTTGTTGGGAGCAGAGGAACCTCCGTCTTGGAGAAGGGCTTTTATATCGTTGATCCCAAAGGAGGATCAAAATCTTACCCAGCCTAAAAATTATAGACCTATATCTCGTTTGAATACAGATTATAAGATTTTCTCGAAAATATTGGCAAATAGATTAATGCATGTTTTGAAGCAATTGATCCATAGTGATCAATCTGGATTTATAATTGGGAGATATATGAAATATAATGTAAGACAAATTGTTAACCTAATTGAGTATTTGGACAAGAACAATCAAATCCCTGCGGCTTTGATATTTTTGGATGCTGAAAAAGCTTTTAATCAGTTAAATTGGCAATTTTTATTGAGAGTTGTAGAGAAAATGAATTTTGGGGATAAATTTTTGTATGCTTTTAAGGCTATATATCAACAACAATCGGCACAAATTATAATTAATGGGGGATTAACAGAAGCATTTAAAATTGAAAAGGGTACAAGACAGGGATGTCCATTATCCCCATTGTTATTCATTTTAACAATGGAGATTTTACTTATTAAAATTCGTGAATCACCTACAATAAAGGGAATAAAAATAAATAAGAATGATTATAGGTTGAGAGCTTTTGCTGATGATTTGATTGTGACATTATCTCTGGTTTTAAGGTAAATAACAATAAGACTAAAATACTACTGAAAAATATGTCTATGAAGGAAAAGTTTATGTTAGCTAAATTAACAGGTTTTGAAATAGTGAAAAAGGTTAAATACTTGGGAGTATACATTACAACTTCTAATGTTAAATTGTACAAAAATAATTATGAGACATTATGGGTAAAAGTGCAAAAGGATTTAAATGGTTGGAAAAAACTACAGTTATCTTTGCTGGGGAGAATCTCAGCGGTTAAAATGAATGTTCTTCCAAAGTTTCTTTTTTTGTTTCAAATGATACCTATTTTGAAAAAAGATGCCAACTTGGAGGAATGGCAGAAGGGTATTAATAAATTTATTTGGGCGGGCAAAAAACCAAGAGTTAAGTTCAAGATTATACAAGATGTACGGGAAAGAGGTGGACTTAAGGCGCCTAATCTGAAGTTATATTATGATGCGGTGGCTTTAACATTGATTAGTGACTGGCTTAATTTAACAAATAAAAATATACTTTCTCTTGAGGGATGGGATTTACTATATGGATGGCATGCATATTTAATTTATGATAAAAAGGTGGATCAGGTTTTTAAATCCCATATTTTAAGAAGTGCTTTATTGCGTTTCTGGAAGAAGTATTATTATAGGTTAAATTATAAAATGCCAATTTGGGGGATTCCAGGACACGCAATAGAGGGGGTATCTAGGGGTGTGAATTTGGATAGGATTTCTTATAAGGATTTACTTAGCTTGGTAGGGAATGATTGGAATTTAAAATCGTTAGCTGAGTTAAAGCAAGAAAATATTGTACAGTCTTGGTTTCAGTATAATCGTTGCTTAGGTGGAAGTTAGATCAAAAGGTTGGTATCACTTTAATGGATGAGAATTTGGTAAAACAGATTAAAGATCAAAACTGAGCGCATATAAAGAGAATTTATAATGTTTTTATAGAAATGGATTCGGAAATGGAATTAGTTAAAGATTGTATGGTAAAGTGGGCTCAAAATATTCAAGAACCGATTCCATTGGATACATGGGAGGTAATTTGGGTTAGAAATGTAAAATTTACCCAGGCACAAAATTTAAGAGAAAATTTTTATAAAATGTTTTATAGATGGCATCTGGATCCTAAAAAGTTGTCTTGTATGTATCCTAATTTACAGCCCAAATGTTGGAGATGTGGTAGTTTGGATGCCACTTATTTTCATATATAGTGGACTTGTAGAAATATAAAAGCCTTTTGGATTAGGATTTGGTGGAACATTCAACAGATTTTCAAGAGAAAGATAAAGTTTACCCCACCATTATTTTTATTGGGTGTTATTATAGATTGTGATGTTAAAGAAATTAATTTGATGTTGAATTTGCTAATAGCTGCAAGGTTATTAGTAGGGCAATATTGGAAGAAGGATTGCTTGTTTACTATAGAAGAATGGATGCTTAAAGTGTCAAATTTAGCAGAAATGGCTAAGATTTCTGCTTATTTGAAGGATCATCCACAAGAAAGATATATTTCAGTTTGGAGAAGATGGATAAACTATATTCAGAATAAATATGGGACTAAAAAGTTTCATTTAGCCTATGAGTGAATTTTAGAATATTATTATGATATTATTATTAGTAGTAGTATTAGTATTGTTTAACAATTTCGAGATTGTATTGTTTAATAATCAGGATATTAATTTGTTTGTTTTCATTATTATGTTTATTTTTAATTTGTTTATATTTATGTTAAAGGGGAGTTAAAGTGTATTATGGACTTGGTTAATTATATAGTTGGTTAATGTTAGTTAGATTATGATTATTATATTTGTAACCCTGTACTCAGCTCTGGGAAGTTCGGGAGGGAGAGGGTGGGGTTTGGGGTGGGTTATATTGTAATTTTTATAAAACTTTTTAATAAAAAAAAGATAAAGGTTCCACTTCCTATATTTTAATCTTGGCCCAACTATCATCCACATAGCTATACCACCCACATGGGAAATCTTTTGAAAGAGTTTATGGCTTTGACATCTACTTCTTCCCTGTAGAGATTGGCTACAATGGGCCAAAGAAATAGAATCCTTCCATCCAAATACAATAAAAAATAGAATTCTTCCATCCAAATACACAAAGAAATACTATTATTTTATCTCACCACCACCACCACCATCCTATCAGAATCTATCCTATCATCCAGTCTCAACTGTCAGTACCTGTCCTTCCATCCTTCCACCATCAGAATTGATGAAGCTTCTTGAATAAAAAAAGGAACGTTTTGTTCCTCAAGAAAAAAACAGTCCAGTTGCTTTTGAAGAAAAAAAGCATCTTTGAGACAGCTAAAAAATTATAATAGATGGCTCAGGCCAACAGAAAACACTGCGTATGATCATCCAGGAAGGTCTGATTCTGTTTTAAACACCATGAGAGGGGCAGGATTCTGATGCCTAATGCTATGGAGAAGACTTAATCAAATGCCTCTTAACAGCAGAAAACAAATAAGGCAATGCCTACTGTCGTGGTAGTTGGATAGCAATAAGTATCCTATCACAGGGTGTCCCAAATTTTGCAGTACTATGAATCCCTGAAATGAAAAATAAATGTGTCCATTGCCTTATGAATAAAGCTAATTATTGGGGTTAGGGTTATGAAATACGTTGTTTATTAAAAGATACGTAACTGTCATCATACTTAGGCTTCCAATAGATTGGTTCTCTTATTGTCCTTCCCCCCCCCTCAAAAAATTTTCTATTTTGAATCACACACATTTGAAGAAAGAAAGCATAGAGTAATATCCCCAAATTTGCTTTCTTGCCATACCATAGTCGGCAAAGTTATTGTTTTTTTTTTTAAATCTAGAAGTGAAACTTGAATCCAGTGGCACCATGAAACTATGGCCCTATTGAACATTACCTATTTTATGCTGGTCTCATTCACATAGTTACATACACAGAATTCTGTTCCATTTCAGGTTAAACAACATGCAGTAAAAAAAAAAAAGCGCAATAGTCAGCAAAATAATAGATAAAAATCCCGTTATGCTGGCTTCCTCGTGCTACAAAATGTCCCTACATCAATTCATTAATTGCCTATTAGGTCATTTATGACAATCACAGCATCCTGTGCTCATTTGATTATCATTTGTGATCTTCCTAAACAGCTTCTAACAAGCAAAGTCAATAGAGGAGCCAGAAGGAGATTGCAAGTCACAGTCACATGATGTTTCACTTAATAACTCTGAGTGATTTTCTTAATGGCTACAACTAGGATTGTCATTAGTAAGTGAAGTGTTCACATGTTTTGCTTAACAACTATTTATTTTCTAAATAAAATATATAGGTTTTCTCATGTTTATACATTTCTCAATGGCATGCTAAAGTATCCAATCTGTAACAATCCCTGCTTACCCCTGAGACACACAAGGTATTTCTCAATTTATATTCATTGTCTCCCTGCTGCCCTTTCAATATGCTTTCCACCTAACTTCTTTCCAGGTTTCTCAAGTTTAACAAGTAACCTGTAATTTTTGTATTCATTCCTATTGTATTTTTCTTTGTAGAACAGCACAGTAATGACATTTTTAGGCATTAAAGCCAGCTGGATGATTTTGAGCCAGTCACTTTCTCTTAGCCCACTCACCTCACAAGGTTATTGTGGGGAAAATAGGAAGCAGTATTAGGTATTCTCGCTGCCTTGAGTTACATATAAAAAAGGCAGGATAAAATATAATAGTCATTATATTTTGTAGGAAAATTACACAATAGCACTTATACTAAAAGCAAATTTATCAGGTGACTAGTCTTAGCAAATTACACTTTAAGAGAGAATCTGAAGCATTATTATACCTTGGTAGTTGTAAATTTATATGGACTTTGTGTACACATATTCCTAAATGTATAGGAACAGTGTTAGTGTTAAAATACAATATTTCTTCATATTATAAATACTTAATAGTTTGATACAGAAATGATATAGCATATGGTGTTGAATATAATTTGAAGTTGACTTTATAATTATAATTTAATATATAATATTGGTCTATTAAACCTCTTATTAGGAAGTATTTAACCTTTGGTGGCCCTATTTTGCAGGTAATATTTCTTAAGCAGAAATGAAGAATAAAAAGCAATCTGTTCAAAATGCAGAAGATGACAAACATGAGGCTACAAAAGGTAGCTAACTTATTATTTGAATTTCTGAAAGAAATGAGACTTGAAAATGTTCCACTATATTTCTAGATCTATGCATTATTTTATAGATATTAACATCTTTTTGAAACCTCTGGATTTAGCTATTTACTTCCTACAAATCCCATGTTATAATTGACAATGTTGATAGGAGCTGGAGATACTATCTCAGTCAGATTCTAGTTGAGAAGTTTCCTGCTTCCCAAAATATTACAAATGTTGCTTCTCCAGCATGATGACTGAAGAATCCACCAATGGGTTATTTCAGTCCTCCTGCCCAATCAGACTAAGTTGCCAAGTTGTCACGCCTCCTCATTATCTAGCTCCTCCCAGTTTCATCTTAGTCATTCGCCCATGAGGACATAATAATTTGACTCTCTTCATGAAAAACAGGTCAGGCTAGATATTTAATTCATTGGTGGATTTTTCCTGGAGTATAGTAGTGTTAGATTGGTTTCTTTCTCTGAGGAGTTTTGGTAATTTTGTTTGCCTTCCTTTCTTTCTCTTTCCTTCTATTACCTGGGAGCAGAGCTTATCCCTCTCCTGGCTGGGGGGGGGGGTTCTGCCTATGTTTTCCTAACTATTCAGTTAGCTGCGTTAATTTCCAGGGTAACATCAAGGTGGGGGGGGGGTTGTTCCCTTCCTCTCACTAGCTAAGGAGATTGTTTTTGATCAGTATTTTGGAACTACAACCAGTTCCTTGTGGCGGCTGCCATTTTGAGGCCATGTGGAGCCTTCTCTGACTGGGATCGGTCAGAGTCCTAGCGGTGGCCATTTTGAATTCCCAAAGTTAAAGTTAATTGTTGCAATCGGACTGTTAGCAAGCTTCCTCTTTGCTCATTATGCAAAATTGGTTTAAAACAAAGTCATTATTGTTTCTAGAGCCATTTATTCGGCTGCCGCTAAAGGAGGCGAAGTGTCATTGCTGGGGCAGCGAAGACTCGTGGACACTTTTAAAAAAAGGCTCATTTTTGCTCCTTTTACTATTTACTGACATAGTCCTTTTGGAATTCAACTGAGGTCCGTTCCTACTCCTATCTAGCGAAGGTAGTTCTTTCTTCTGAATCGAAGCGTCTGCCATTTTGCCAACTACTGTCTCATTGGGAAATGCCCAGGGACACCATTTTTGGAGTTGGTTGTTTATAATTACCTCACAATTTAATTAATATTGCCTTTCTCATATTTATTTTCATCCGAATTTGCGATTAAGGTTCTGTTTCAGAATCCACTATTCATTGCAATTAGCAGCAAATTTGGGGCAATTATCATTGCAACGGAGGTCCAGCGGGCCTTGCTCGCTATTCCCTGCCTGAGTTCTGCCACCCTGAACCTAGTGGTTGCCTACAGGATCCTGACCATTGCCACTAGCGAGACACGTGTGGTTTCGTCACCATTCTGATCTGGTTGAAAGTGCGTCCAGCACATAGGTGACGAGCGCTCCACAGCGCCCAGTGTGAGCCCAGGTTGCCGGGGCGGTTCACGCTTTTTTCTCCACGTGCAGTCAGTTCCGCTGAGGGCTCCTGATGTCTACTGCAGGGTCACTCAATTTCTGAGTCCTGCTTGGGGGTATTACATTGACATGACAGAACCCACTGAGCCACAGCCTTTGGACACAGGCAACACCATGGTCCAAGCCAAGCCGATTTCTGAAGTGCCTACAGGTAAGGCCAAAGCAAAATCTAAATACGGCAGGAAGGCTGGTAAGACAAGCGATAAGATGGCTGACAGAACACATAGAGCCCTGGAGAAGCAATTCTCCCAGGCCCAACGCTTGTCAACTGAACAGGATTACATACCTCCTGGTGCATCCCCACCTGAGACACATGTACCATTCACATCGGGAGTATGGTCGCCTTTGAGTGCAATCCAGCAGGTCTCTGATCAGACCTTTGGTCAGGTGGGTCCACCCATGCTTGGGGAGGACCTTGATTTGCCCGGCCCATCATCTGTGCCCACTGCTACATTAATTCCAACGGCTGCGGGGTCACGACCTCTGCTAGAGCCATCTTTTTCAACACAGCTCCAGTCATGGATATCACAGGCGGTGATCCAGGCCATGGCATCATCGGGTATCCACCAGGCGTCACCAGTTCCTGGTCCTTCCTCTGCACCAGCTTCCTCATCTCGACCCACAGCGGATCGTTCAGGTAGGGTTTCCCCATCCTGATCTCCGGACTCCGAGTCTTCCAATGTCTCGGATTATGACGAAGGAAGGGGACCGCTGGTCTGAGTGCGAGGAGCCGACCCATGAGTCTCAGCCCATGGCAGAGCTATTCAATGCCTCGCTCTTTTCGTCATTGCTGTACAGGGCTTGTGCAGCGAGCAAACTTTCCTCCGTCTCTTCTCCGGCCCCTCAGCCTTCCACAGATCAGGACTCAAATCCTCTATTTGCCGAACCGGTAGACTAGTACCTCCATATTCCATGTCCCCCCCTATTCCTGAAGAACATTCAGGACAATGGGAATCTCCAGCTGCTCAACCTTCCCAAGGAGCGTCTGAGCGCAAGATTGTGGACATGGCAAAGAATCTTACTGACCTTTTAGAGGTGCCTAAGGTGGATGAATCCTTAACCCTACTGTTTTCTACAGCCAGCCTTCCGGCGGATGTCTCAGATGCCCTTAAGGCCGAAGATAAAAAGTCTGAACTGGCCTTACGCAAGGTTCACTTAGCATCCGCTTGGGCTACAAAGGCGGCAACTTCCATTTCCTTTTTTGCAAGGATTTCAATTCCCTGGCTCAGACAATTGCAAGACAGGATCCCCCTGGAGGAGGTTAGGATCCATCAGGACCTTACTAAGCTTATAGCCACATCTGAGTATATGGCAGATGTCTCTATGTACTCAGCCAAGCATTCAGCCAGGGCAATGACTTCCGGCGTAGTCGTCAGGAGGCTACTTTGGCTCAAGAACTGGAGAGCTGAAAGCAAGCACAAGTGGTGTGCGGCCATTGCCCCCTTCACGGGTAGCCGACTGTTTGGGGAAGCATTGACCCCATACCTTATTGAGAATAAACAGAAACAAAAGGTCATCTCTCACTTAGTTTGGAAATCCAACAGGCATTACCTTTCGGACTGCATCCACATCAGAACAGGGACAACCTTACAGACCTCCAGCTCCGAAGGCTGACCGCCCCTTTGACAGAGCGGGGTATAGGGACAGATCCCGATACCAATCCCAGACCAAACCTTCCTTCCGTGGCAGAGGGGGCCGCCCCTTCCGCCGCTCCAAGTGACTCAGAGGGGACCCCCCCATTGGCGGCAGGCTAACCCTTTTCATCCACCAATGGGAAAGCACCACCACGGACTCCTGGGTTCTGAGCACCATAAGGGAAGGCCTGTCTCTGGAGTTCAAATCCCATCCAATAGATCACTTTGCCTCTTGCCCAGCCATGAGAAATCACATAAAAAGAGGTCTCATGGAAGATGCCATCCAATATCTCCTCAGCATCAAAGCCATAGAGGAGGTTCCCTTGTCCCAACGGGGATCGGGGTATTACTCCATCCTCTTTGTAGTTCCAAAATCCTCAGGAGGATGGAGAGGAATCCTAGACCTCAAGGGACTGAACCTCCACCTACAATACAGGAGGTTCAAGATGCAGACGTTGCACTCCATCCTAGGCAGTATCAGGATGGGAGATCTTCTAACATCAATAGACCTCAAGGAGGCATATTTGCATATCCCTATCCACCCGGCACATCGCAAATACCTGCGGTTTTGTTACCTCAACCGTCATTTTCAATACAGGGCCCTACCATTCAGTCTTTCCTCTGCCCCCAGGGTCTTCACCAAAATACTGGCAGTTTTGGCGGCCCATTTGAGGTTGGTTCCGGTGCGCGTCCAGTGTTATCTGGACGACATTCTGATCCAATCGCTGTCAGCAACATCCGCCCAGTCAGATCTGGATCTCACAATCAGGACTATTCAGAACCATGGGTTCTTAATAAATTTCAAAAAGAGCCAGACAACACCATCAACCCGTCTGTTACACCTGGGGGCGGTGATCGACACAGACAATTGTCATGTGTACCTATAGGAGGAAAGGCGCATCAGAGACCTGGCACTCAAGGTATGCAAGAACAGGACAGTAACATTAGCTCTCCTTTCCCAATTACTGGGGAAGTTGATATCCTGCATAGCGATAGTGCCGTGGGCCCAACTACATGCTCGAGCCCTATAGTGGTTTCTGCTTCCATATCAAAGACAACATACAAATACCTCCAACCAGCTGGTGCGTGTTCCTCATCAGGTTCGTCTGTCTCTCAACTGATGGGCTTCCTCGGCCATATGCAAGGAGACCCTATTCAAAGAGCCCACTCGCATCAGTATGACCACGGACGCGAGTCTTTTCAGTTGGGGCGCTTATCTCCAAACACGGATGGCTCAGGGTCAGTGGTCACAGACAGACCGGAGGCACAGCATAAATTGGTTGGAGCTCAGAGCGATCCACCTAGCTCTCAGACATTTGCACTCAGTAGTCAGGGGGCAACATGTGCTGGTCCTGACAGACAACGTGGCGGCGAAGGCCCACGTCAATCGACGGTACCCGATCAAAGTCCCTCATGGCAGAAGCTCGGGCATTGAGCTCCTGGGCGGAGAAACATCTACTCTCCATCAGGGCAGAGCGCATTTCGAGGGAGGCGAATTGGCAGGCAGATTTTCTCAGCAAGTCAATAGTGGACCATTTGGAGTGGAAGTTATATCCGGATGTCTTCAGGGAGATCACGGACAGATTTGGTCGTCCGATAGTGGACCTGTTCGCCTCGCCAGAGAACACCCAACTACCCAGGTTTTTCTCCCGGTTCCCCTCTCGGGGGGCGGAGGGGGCGGATGCCCTACACAGCCAATGGCCGTGAGGCCTCTTGTATGCCTTTCCCCCACTGCCTCTGTTACCAGCAGCTATCAGGAAGATCCTGGCGGAGTAGGCGGAGGTAATATTTATTGCTCCTCACTGGCCCAGAAGGCCATGGTTTGCAGATCTGGTGAGCCTCTCCGTCTCTGCTCCGTGGAGGATTCCAGACCATCGCATTCTGTTGACACAGGGAGATCTTCAACATCCAGATCCCCAATGGCTTCAGTTGACCGTCTGGCACTTGAACGCCACACCTTGACTCAAGAGTCCTATTTGTCAGGGGTGATGGATATGATTCAGGCTGCCAGGAGACCATCGACTAACCGTATTTACAACCATACGTGGAAGAACTTCTGTCATTGGTGCGACAGGAATCACGTGAGTCTGTCACAAGTAACCATCCCCAAGGTGTTAGAATACTTGCTGGAGGGTGTCAACAAGGGGTTGTCACCAACACTATCCATAGACAGCTAATAGCCCTTTCCACAGTGTTTTCTTGGGACTCTTCAGAATCCTTGTCTAGACACCCTACAATCAGATCTTTCCTAAAGGGAGTTACCAATAGCAAACTCCCTGTGATTCATAGGTATCCCTCTTGGGATCTACCCAAAGTCTTACAAGCTCTAATCTCTTCCCCCTTTGAACCCCTTAGATCATGTTCCTTGCGGTACCTGTCGCTGAAGGTTTCATTTCTGATAGCCATAACTTCTGCCAGACGTATATCGGAATTAGCTGCCTTGTTGATCAGGAAGGACCTGTGCTTGTTACATGAGGACAGGATGATTCTTCGATTAGATCCCTTGTTTATTCCAAAAATAAACACGGTGTTCCATAGGACACAAGAGGTTATTCTCCCAGACTTCTGTCCCCACCCGTCACATGACTTGGAACGGCAGTGGCACTCTTTAGATGTGCGGAGAGCTTTGCTCTGTTATATCAAACGCACAGCATCTTTCTGTAAATCAGAAGCCCTGTTTATATCCTTCCAGCCTTCCTCAATGGGCCAAAATATATGAGCCGAGGTGGCGCAGCAGTTAGAGTGCAGTACTGCAGGCCACTTTAGCTGACTGTGTTCACCAGGTCAGCGGTTCAAATCTCACCGGCTCAAGGTTGACTCAGCCTTCCATCCTTCCAAGGTAGGTAAAATGAGGACCCAGATTGTTGGGGGCTATATAAATATATATATATACATTGCTTACTGGTATACACCACTTAGAGCAGTGGTTCTCAACCTGTGGGTCGGGACCCCATTTGGGGTCAAATGACCATTTCATGGGGGTCGCCAAACCATTCTATCCGCCATTTTTTTCCCTTTTCCCTAGCTGTCCTACTCCCTCTTATTGGTGGCCACACCCACTTGGGGGTCACCACAACATGGGGAACTGTATTATGGGGTCACGGCATTAGAAAGGTTGAGAATCACTGGCTTAGAGAGTGCTTGCACTTAAAGCAGTATATAAGTCTCATAAATAAATAAATAAAAGGTTTCGGCTTCCACTATAGGTAGGTGGATTAGGGCTTGTATTGCAGCAGCTTACGCGCCTCTTTCCCTACCCATTCCCAGTCATGTGACGGCTCATTCCACACGCAGCACTGCCACAACCGCTGCATGGGCTACTCAAGTGCTTATTGAAGACATTTGTAGAGCAGCGACATGGTCCACACCTTCCCCATTTATTAGGCATTATCGCTTGGACAAGTTTGCTTCGGCTGAGGCCGCCTTCGGTAGACGTATTTTGCAGCAGGTGGTGACACCATCAGGTTCACAGGCCCCAACTATTTCCCACCCGTAGGGACTTCAGGAGCTTTGGTACGCCCCATTGGTGGATTCTTCAGTCATCATGCTGGAGAAAGAGCATTGGCTTACCTGAACGCAAGTTCTCAGCATGATGATGAAGAATCCACGCCCTCCCTTCAAGTTGTTAGTTAGTTAGGGGTTGGGGGCCTGTTTCTTTTTTCCTTTTTTTATGAATATCTGCTTGAGAGTCATCACGTCCAACTGTTGTCATTGGCTATGCCCTCGATGAAACTGGGAGGAGCTAGATAATGAGGAGGCGTGACAACTTGACAACTTAGTCTGATTGGGCAGGAGGACTGAAATAACCCATTGGTGTATTCTTCATCATCATGCTGAGAACTTGCGTTCAGGTAAGCCAACGCTCTTTTTATCCCAGATTCACAATTGAAAAGGGCTATGTGCTACTAGGAAATGATTCAGTAAAAATACATAGTAGATATTAATCAAAATAATTGGTTCTTCCTTAAATTTTCTGTAATTTATCTTCCATGTACTCGTGTACTGTTATCTAAAAAAATCAAATTCTGACCAGTTGAGCAGAGTGTAATTTCAAATAGTGTATATTAGAGAGGTACAAATGTACACACAAAATATGATTATATATTATATATATCGGAGAGCCAGGCTTCTTTGAGTAAGCAGCCACCCTTGGGGAAACAACTAAAAGACTTAGGACTAGGGTCCCTGAACATGAATTGGCAATTAAAAGGCAGGAGCAGCACTCACAAGTGTGGGCCCATATGGCCATCCTTGGCCATACGTTCGATCTGGCCGATGCGGAGGCTATATCCCATGAGACCACCAAGGGTGGCTGCTTACTCAAAGAAGCCTGGCTCTCCGATGAGAACTCCATCAACCGGCATATAGACCTCCTACCGGCTTATCAGACCCTTAGAAGGTGGGAGGGACAGCGCTGCGATCCACGGAGGAGACATCCAGCCCGTCTTTGGTAGGATCGGGGCGATAGAATTATAAATGAGGCAGCGGCAATCCCCAGAGAAGATGACCCGGCAAAAGGGGAGGGAGACCAGGAATGGAAACAATGGGATAGCCCTTTGCAGGATTGGGGCGATAGGGCTACAGGTGGCAATTACTTCCATGGGAGGAGGTGATGGACCAACTATCTCTGGCCGTGAGCTAGAGATAGACGCGCAGAAGCGACCTGGAACGAGGTGGGGGAGGAGGCGGGGAGCAGGAACGCCCGAATAGCGCTCTTCGCAGGACAGGGGCGAGGAACTTTTATATGTATGTATATGGTCTTTTTATTCATCAATATATATATGTATGTATGTTTTCTGAGGTTTTCGCGGGTATTTGTATGTAGGTCTTTGGTTGTTCGGGTTTTCTCCCGCGTAAAATTGGAAGTGTCTTGGCGACGTTTCAACGAAGTCCCATTCATCATCTTCAGGCTGGTGTTTTCAGCTTCGTGCTTCGACGAATGGGACTTCGTCGAAACGTCGCCAAGACACTTCCAATTTTACGCGGTAGAAAACCCGAACAACCAAAGACCTACATACAAACAGCCGCGAAAACCTCAGAAAACACACACACACACACACACACACACAAACACAAACACACACATATATATATAAAATCAGTTTCAGATTAGCTGCTTAAAGTAACATAATTTAGCTTAAAATTTTCTTTATTTTCCTTATTTTTTATTGTTTAGTTGTACATCAGTAATTTCAATCTACTTATGTGCATTTCATAACAGGTGAAGAGAATGAAGAAAACAGTTCTTGCTCCACTGACTTTTTATCTAATGAAGATGCTCGCTGCCCAATTTGTCTAAATTGTTTGGTAGAGCAGGAAGTTGGCTTTCCTGAAAATTGCAATCACATCTTCTGCTTGACCTGCATTCTTAAATGGGCTGAAGTAAGTCTTAGCAGTTGCAATCAAATTTGTAAAATAGTTTACTTAACTTTGAACTTTTTTCATAATAAAATATAGTACACGTTCTTTTTGTTTTGGTTATTATACAAATAACAACTCCTTTACAGGCACTCCTGAACTTACAACTATTTATTTAATAACCATTTGAAGTTACAACAGCACTGAAAAAAATGAGTTATGCCCAGTCTTTGCATTTAGGACTGTCATAGAGTCCCTGCAATCACATGATCAAAATTTGATCAATTGCCAAAATTCCAACCCATCATATATTTATGATGGTAACAGTGTCCTAAGGTCACATGATCACCATTTGGAACCTTACCAGGGGGCTTCCAACAAGCAAAGTCTATGGGGGCAGCCAGATTCTTCACTTAACAATTGCAGTAGTTCACTTAACAACCACAGTAAATTATCATAAAATCCAGGTGACTCACTTAATGACTATATTGGTTAGCAACAGATGTTCTAGTCCTAATTGTGGTTGTAAATTGAGGACCACCTGTACTCATGAATACCTTTGGGTCTGTATTTTGTAAGCATTACATTTTATATATCTTGAATGGCTGCTTTGAAATATAAAAAGAATTTCAAAAGCAATATAGACAGTGATCGATAGATCAAGGGCAGTTTTTAAAACAGCTTCACTGTTGTACCCAATATTCTTAAAGTAGCTCTTTGAAGAGTAGCCTAAATGTAAATAGTTAAAGACTCTATACATACAGCTATGAAAGGACCTTCATTTCTTAAAGCAATTCTTGTAAATGGTAGTATCAATTATCTTCCTCTATTCTAAAAGATATTATAACTTTTACTGATCCCTTATCACTTTTGTTTTCCATCACTTAGAATAAGCTCATATTGATTCTGTTTTATGCATATATTTTTATTAAAGATATTTTAATAAGACAAAAATAATACAAATTTTAGAAAATAAAATAAATAGTGAAAAAATAAGACAATTAGAGAAAATTAGAAAATAAAACAGGCAAAAGAAAAAAAATAAAGAAATAGCTTCCAATCTTCTTAACAGAAGGTTATAAATGCATTTATATTTTATGCTCTCTGTCCAAGATTACGTCATAATTTCCTTTTTTCATAGTCTATTATTAGTAGGATTTAATTCTGAATAAATATTCATAGGATTGTACAATTTCTTGTCCCTGCAGCTTGCTTTTGTATTTTTTATTCATTAATTTAAAATATTTACATGGCTGCTCATCTGGTGAAGGTGCTCTGGTCTCATGAATATTAAATATTAATTAATACTTACTGTAAACATAAACATCAAACTCGTTCCTTTCTTTTGCTGTATAGGACTAAAGAAATAGTTTTTCTTCTTCGTAATTGGAGATTAAAATCCTGAGTTTTTGTAATTATTTTAAATGTTGTTCCAAACAGAACTATAGCAGATACATAGCTGATATCTAGCTTGTACAGAGGATTGATATAATGGAAAAATAATGAGCCATGTGACACACATCCTCTTCATTGCCAAAAAAAACAGCTAGTTACAGGTTTATCATCCCATTAAAAATTACATTGGATCATAATGTTCTTTATAATGTTTTGGATTAATCTACAAATTAAATAGGATACCAGAGTAATACTTTCATTTGTATAGAACAAATAATAATCTTTACTTCTTAGCAAAAAGCTTCAGTCTAAGCATTCTGTAACACCAGCAAGAGCAGTTATTCTTTAGTTATCATTTGCATAATTTATCCAGAAAACATCAAGTGTTTCTCTTTCAATACTACCGTAAAAACATTTCTGTTCTGTTTAATAAATTCAAGTTTATTTTTAAGCAAGCATCTATTTTTTTCAATCCCACTACGTACACTCTATAGGAAGATTATATTTTATTGAAACAAGCTAAAATAACAGAATCTCTTACAAATGTGGTTCTGTTTTACACACACACATACCCTTTAGGCCACAGTGAATTAGAAAGGAGTCTGCTTGAGTTGCTTTCCGATGCTCTTGGGCTCTCCAAAGCCCTCTTTGCTTATGTAACTGTTCCTGTATAACTCTGTCAAGTTGCTTTCCCTTATTCTTTACAATTAATTGCAGCCAAATTGATGCTGCAATCTATGCTGGATCTCATAGTTAGCCTGGAATTGAGTACCATCACACTCAAATAAATAACCTGTGTTTGTGGTTATCTGCATATTCTCTTTTAATTTTTTTTTTACTAATTTGAAAAGCAATAGAAAAAACGAAGGAAATTAATACATGTACATACAATAAAAATATACTGTAAGGATCCTCCCCAACTTGTCCCTCAGGAAAGTAAGACTCTTGAATCCAGATGGTTGAATCAAAAGAACTTTTACTGGGAGAAAGTGGTTGTAGGAAAGTCAGGCAGAATCTGAAGTTCCCGCACAAAGCACAAAGCTAGTCTTTCGTTTTCCCCAAATCCCAACCCCTGACCAGTTCACTGGCAGCCAATATGATGCTATGAAGATGTTTTGAAAATACTGAGGTGCTAGGCAGATGACAGGTCATTCTCAGGGCATGACAGCCTTGGAATCAGGCTGGAACTGGCTGGGAGGAAGTCTGCTTTGTCTCCAAAGACAATCCCCCTCCCTAATTCCCAAGCATTACAGCAAAATGAAAGTATTCCAAATATGTCAACGTCCCCCACCCCGCCAACAGAATAGCAGGACAGGAAGGTGGACCTGACATGCTGTCCCCCTGAACAGTAACATTAGTCCTGCAGAAGAGAACAAAAATAGACAGGGAGTGAAGAAAGTTAGGACAAATATTTCACTTAGTTTATCAAGGTATTGGTTATGAAAGCATTTAAGAAGTTTAGAAGCCCTAACATGGCGGTAATCAACCCACTTGTTTTGGGACTTGGGAAAATTCTTTCAAGATAATTAGGTATTGAAAATTCCACCTGTGTTTACGGGAATCCAAAATACTATGGACATATAAACACAATCTCCAATGTTGAAGGCTTTAGGTTCCAGGTGTTTTTGTCAGTTTGCTTTTTATACATGTCATGAGCCGTCTCTAGAGATTTCCTTGCAACAGGCCACATATGGTGCAGTTGAGTGACCCATTCCTTCAAGGACACAGGGGGTCACTTGGTGGTAGTTTGGGCATTGGGCTGAAGTCTTGTCCTATAGCCACTCTGAAAAGAGTGAATCTGGTGCTACTATGAACCAAATTATTATGTGCCACCTGTGATGACTCAGGGCACAGCACAGAGGCAATGCAGTCAGCTAGCAATTCAAACAGTTCTTTTATTGCTCCAAATTTTCCTCAAATGCTCCCACTTTTGCTGGCAAGCCTCCAACAAAAGCACACACACACATCTTCAGCCGATTGGCTGAAAGTAGGTTCAAATACAGTCTGATTAGCATAAGAAAGTACTCAAGGCCACAGAGATAACAAGGAAGAAAACATAAACTTAACGAGTCTGTTTGAATCGTAGCTTGCCTGAGCAGTTTTCAAAAGAGAGAATCCAAAATACAGTCCGAAGTCTTTAAATATTCAAGTAACGTTGTTGTAGAAGTGAGAGACTTGAGTCAGCTCTTTTGTGGAAGAAAAGTTTATTTGCGCAGGTTCAGAGAGCTATTCATAGCTTAAAGGGTCTGAACACCCGACCGGGGCATAGATGATCATATTTATAACCTCCAATACGTAGGTATTTCCTGATCAAGACATATTCCATACATGGTTACATTCTATAGTTCCTTATTCTAACATAGGAAAGTTACTAGACATGGTTATAATCTATAGTTCCTCTTTTCAACATAGGAATGCTTTTAGCAGTTTGCAATATATCATGTGCAGAGTTAAAAACAGGATATCAGACTAGTCTGGCATTTCTAAATTTAAGTGTGGTCTGGGGAACAGGAAAACCTCCTTTTCACCCACAATTTCTGTCAGACAATCAGTATTTTTTCAGCTTCCCACTTTACTCCCCCCTATTGAGACTTATCTCAACCTTGCAGATAAGTTTCAACCTGTAACACTTGGGTCTGATGTATGTATGTTATTATACTCCTGGTTCTGGAATTCCCACATACCATAACTTGAGCAGTTGCTTTTCGTTCTGCAAGTAGTGACATACATTTTGGCAGTGTAATGTTACGCATAAATGAAAAGGCACATTGCATGAGACAACAACTACTAATCAGAATAGCAATAAAAATGACTACTGCTCTTATGATAGTACCAATAAGACCCATTGGGAGCCAAGACCATAAGTTACTCCACCAACCTCCCAGGGAATCTACTTGCAAATCCAATGCCATTTTATGGAGCACTTTAATCTGCTTGTTTATAACTGGGGATTGGTCTGATAGATTAAAACAGCACATCCCCTCAAAGGCCTCACATCCCATATGTTGGTGGAGCAGGAGATAGTCTATGGCTGCCCTATTTTGTAAAATCGCCTTGCCTAGTTCTACCATTTCTTGATTGATAGCAGACAAGGCTATTGAAGTAGCATTTATAGTTTTAGCCAAATTACAGGCCACAGAGTTTATACTGACATGAGCTCTTATAGCCAGTGCAGGAACTCCCACTAATGAGATAGCCAAGGCATTTTATTCAGCAGCATTCAGAAGAGTACGAGAGGAGTCACACTCCTCATCTAAAACTTCTGCCCTTTGTAACGTGCGACATTGAAGGAGGTAAAAAGTGACCTATCTGGTAGAAAGGTAGTCAGTCTGCTTAGACAGCAATATGTTGTGCTTAGATTGGCAGGAATGTAGTTAAAAGTGTCTTTTCCACAAGTGAAGAACACCCCCCCCCTCGGGCAACCATATGTTGGCATAACCAAAGGACACTGATTGGAAAGATGTGCAATTCAGCTTTTCTTGGCTCACCTTCAGGCAATGAGGTAGAGGTGTACTTTGCTCACAACCTGTAATATGTGCACATTGTAAATCTTCTGGAATGGCTACGTTAGGAGTATGTAAAGCTAGAGCATCGGGTGGCAGAAACTTAGAAATGTGACCCCAGCTGTA